TGTGGATGTGGGTGTGTGGGGTGTGCTTGTGGGTGTGGATGTGGGTGGTGGTGTGACTGTCTCTTCCTCCCTTACATTCATACCCACACCCACACCCACACCTACACCCACTCGCATCCACACTTACCTCTCCCTTTTATATTAGCTTTCATATTCTGTATGTACTATTACTTTTTTCATCGAACTATTTTACATTGTTTTCAGATATATCATACTTATGATAAAGATTCAATTTTTTATTATTAAGAGGATATAGATTTTTTCTACTGACTGCACTTGCTCAGATCTCTATACTGACATAAGCACTTCGTTTAATCGTCGATGCTAGCTAATTAAACGATCATATTAAACAAGTTATATTAAATGGCGACTATATACTTCATGTGACACATATAACAAGAAACTCACTACATGGTCAAATAAATAGCGAATTAATAGTGACAGTCTATCCATATGCGGTTTTTATCCAAGAGGTTAATCTAATATTATCCGAGATTTTTATTTCCATGGAATCATTTTTATTTTCTCTAAACAATTTTGTTCCTTTTTGTTTTTTTTTTACCTAATCTTCTCTTTCGATGATCAGCTGCTGTTGGTCCGTTCGCTAAATGTTTCGACTGATTTTCTTGTCTATTATCAGGGACAATTTAGTATCAAAGTGGTAGGTGATTAGTAAATATGCGAATGAGAAGTTCGGATAAATACCTAGAGAAATTTTTCCATAATGTCGATCATGATATTTAAGACTAGAAAAACTATCCTATCTAGGATATAAATGATAACTTTTCAAGATAATCTACCAGAGAGATAATATTAGATTTGTAAAACTGTTTTTAAAAAAGTCTCTACCAGTTATTAATAATAATGATGTGAACAATCTCTATCACTTTCTTCTAACGAGTTGTGAAAAAAACTAAACGTTTTTTTTTTCTGAGAGATATTTTCTTAATAATATTCGTTGTTTTGTCTATTAATTGTTCGTAAATAAAAGTAGCAATAATAAAGTATATTTGAAGAAATAAAATTGAATAAGAAAATGTATGTTTTTTTTTCTAAATCTAGATTGGTAGATTAATTGCTGCAATTATATCTGTATTTTTATCAGTGGATATATGTCTTAATATTGTTTGGTTTGAAGGATTTTGTCTTGCTCTAGCTTGGTTAATTTTTGTATGGGTTATTGGTTTAACAAGTACAAGTTTATTTATTCTTGGATCAGCAACTGGTTTAGTATTTTCGCCAATATTTCCATTATCGTTTGGATATTTCAATCAGAAATTAAATGTTGTACCAATGCTTATTGCTTTACTTTTATGTGGATCAGCAGTTGGAGCAATAACACTTCAAAAAATAGCTGGTCAATCATTTTTCTAATGGTTTTCATTTTAATTTTATTTGCATGTCTTTTTCTTTTTAGGTTTTGTGATGGATCATAATCCAAAACATTTTCCAACACTTTTAATTGTTTGTTTATTAATGTCAATTATTTTTTATCTTATTTCATATGTTGTTTATTCTATTCATAAACGAAAAAATTTATCAAATGCTCGACCTTCTGTAACTGGTGGTGCAGCTCTTTCTCCTGAAAATTTTAATGAAGAAGAACAACAAATGGCTACTTATTTAAGAGATAATCAAGATACATAAAATACATTCATTCATTTTGTTTTTCTCTTTTTCAATTAAATAATTTTGATTAATAAAACAATCTTTTAGTTCGAATCAAGTCTTCTTTATTACAGTCGAATATTTATTTATTTATAAATTTAACACATATTTTATTAGAAAGATCTTGTTTCGACATTTTCGAATAATCGTTTAATGATATTATCGATAAGTTATGGAAATATTCGAATAAGATCTTCAATTAATATACTGACTACTATCGGAATTTTAAAAGAAGGCACCTGGAAAAAAGCTTATAACTTTCGAACGAAAAGTCATAGCGACCTGCGGTTTTCAGCAATCGATAGAAGATTATAGGGGGCACATTTTTATATAAAAATCAAGGTTTAAATAGTCAGTGATTGTGAAATCGCCGAAAGAGTAGCCTCCTTATTTGGTGAAATTTCAGCAGAACAAGCAGAAACTTTCAGCATATATAGCCCCTCTGTACTCCAATCTTCGATGAAAATATCATCGATAAATCTTGTAATGACGAGGAATGGTGAGCCAATCATCATCTGGTCTTACATAAGACTTTCATTCACTCAAGATATTAGGAAATGGCCTCAACTTTTGGCTGAATAAATACCATAATCTAGACTTCATATCTATGCAATAGCATCGCATTTTGATCGTAAAAATGTACGGAAATAGCCAAAATTCGATGAAGAAATGATTTTCATACAGTAAGTATTTTAAAACAAATCTTTTCAACTTTCTTAAGAGAAATGCAGAATTTAGCAATATTTTCACCGTCTCTTCCCGTTCATTTAATCAAACTATGATATAATTGCATAGATATGAAGTCTAGATTATGGTATTTATTCAGCTAAAAGTTGAGGCCATTTCCTAATATTTTGAGTGAATGAGAGTCTTATGTAAGGCCAGATGATGATTGGCTCACCATTCCTCGTCATTACAAGATTTATCGATGATATTTTCATCGAAGATTGGGGTACAGTGGGGCTATATATGCTGAAAATTTCAGCTTGTTCTGCTGAGATTTCACCAAATAACGAGCCTACTCTTTCAGTGATTCCACAATCACCGATTATTTAAACCTTGATTTTTATATAAAAATGTGCTCCCTATAATCTTCTATCGATTGCTGAAAACCGCAGGTCGCTATGACTTTTCGTTCGAAAGTTATAAGCTTTTTTCCAGGTGCCTTCTTTTAAAATTCCGATAGTAGTATTGTTGTTAATGTATCGAATAGAATATTATTATTATTATGATAAACGATGAAGATCACAATGAAATATTTAATAAATTTGCTGAGAACAAATGACATTACCATAAGGATATTGTATTCTACATATCTTTGTCATTAGTAGAATTGTTTTTCAAATGAGGAAAAGTTTATTTTTCTTTATTTTAATGTATATTTTAAACAAAACTTTTTATTCTCCTATCAAACAAAATTATAACAAACGATTGAAATTTAATATATTAAATATTTAACTTTCTAAATGTGAAATAGAAAAAAA